CCAGCTCGCAGGACTGGCCTAGGGTAATTTTTAGAGGGGTTTTAATCAATATTTTAAATTGGACAATCTTTAATATTTCTTTTAATTAATTTTAAACCTGTATTGTTATTTATGTATTTTAATTGATTGTCAGCCGCCCTGAGTCCTACGAGGAGAAGGGCGGGATATAAATCTAAATAATAAATAAATAAATAAATAAGGCACTGGTTGCCAGTGGCCCTCCGGGTGCGCTTTAAGGTGTTAGTTACCACCTTTAAAGCGCTTCATGGCATAGGACCCGGTTACCTCCGAGACCGCCTTCTGCCGCAGATTCCCTCCCATAGACCGGTACGCTCTCACAGAGTGGGTCTCCTCAGGGTGCCGTCGGCCAAGCAATGTCGGCTGGCGACCCCCAGGGGGAGGGCCTTCTCTGTGGGTGCCCCTACCCTCTGGAATGAACTACCCCCCGAGATTCGGATAATTCCGGATCTCCTTACCTTCCGTCGCGCCCTCAAGACATGGCTCTTTCAGCAAGCGGACCTGACCTAGGGTGGATTTTATATTGGGTTTTTTAGGAATTTGGAAGACACAACTTTAAAATTCGGTTTAATTCGGTTTTAAGGGGGGGATTGTATATATGCTTTGGTTTTAAATATGTTGTGCGCCGCCCTGAGTCCCGCAGGGAGAAGGGCGGCATATAAATTAAATTAAATAAAAATAAAAAAATAAATAAATCCCTCTGCTCTTCCAAAATAGGGAGGCTGAGAGTTGGTTTTCTGGGGGGGTGGTGGGAGACTGTAAGCCTTGAGATTGAAGCAATGCATAATTAAATAAATGGGAAGGGCACTGACTGGCTCCCCCCCCCCAGGCGTCCACTGTGAGATCAACATTGACGACTGCAGCCCGGCCACAGACCCACAGACCCTGACCCCAAAGTGTTTCAACCAAGGGAAGTGCGTGGACAAGGTGGGGGGCTACAGCTGCATCTGCCTGCCGGGCTTTGTTGGGGAGCGCTGCGAGGGGGACGTCAACGAGTGCCTCTCGAACCCCTGCGACCAGCGGGGGACCCAGAACTGCGTGCAGCGAGTCAATGACTACAAGTGTGAATGCCGCCCGGGCTACACGGGTGAGTGCGCAGAGGGGGATCTCGGAAGCCTGGAAGTGGACCAGAAAGTTGGGGTCTGGACAGGAGGGCAGCATCTTCCCTCCCCTACGCCTCCCTCCCTCCCTTCCTCCCTTCCTTCCTTCCTCCCTTCCTTCCTCCCTTCCTTCCTTCCTCCCTTCCTTCCGTGGGTGGTTGCATGCTCAGTGCAAAAGCCTGGTCTTTCTTTCTTTCTTTCTTTCTTTCTTTCTTTCTTTCTTTCTTTCTTTCTTCCCTTCCCTTCCCTTCCCTTCCCTTCCCTTCTTTCCTCCCTCTCTTGTCTCCCTCTCCT